CAGAAGATTCCGCATAAAAAAGATAACCCTCAGGAATAGCAGGCATATTCTCATCATCACTATCATCATCGTATTCAGGTTCAATAGTTTCTCTTTCTCTAGACCTAGCAATTTTCTCATCAAGAAATTCACCAAGGGGCACAATAGTATCAAGCATAGAAGTAGTTTCATCAAAAGTATCATGCATAGCAGAAGTGGCATCATCAATAACGTGCGACATATCAGAATTCATAGCAGTAGCAGGTTTAGGTGTCGCAAGCTTACTTATAACAGAAGGAGAATCTAATGCAGAGCTAGATGGCAGTTCCTTACCTCCCCTCGTAGTTGAGGGCAAAATAGTAGTTCGATCGTCTTTCAAGTTCTTCATAGTGTCCAGCAGATATAAATCCCAAGTGACTCAAAGAATAGAGCTATGTTCCCTGGCAATGGCGCCAGAAAAAGGTCTTGATAACCCATAAGTATAGAGGAACGCAACAGTTTTTGAGGGTAGAGTATTCAACCCAAATTTATTGATTCGACACAAGGGGAGCCAAAGAATATTCTCAAGTATTAGCAGCTGAGTTGTCAATTCAACCACACCTGGAAACATAGTATCTGCAGCAAAGTGTTTAGTAGCAAAGTAATATGATAGTGGTGGTAACGGTAACAAATGTAAAGACATCAAAAGTAATGTTTTTGGTATTTTGTAGTGATTGTAACAGTAGTAACGAAAAAGTAAATAAGCGAGAACCAATATATGGAAGACTCGTAGGCACCGGATTAGCGATGGATAATTATACCGGATGCGGTTCGTCATGTAACAGTCATAACATAGGGTGACACAGAACTAGCTCCAGGTCATCAATGTAATGTAGGCATGTATTTTGTATATAGTCATACGTGCTTATGGAAAAGAACTTGCATGACATCTTTTGTCCTACCCTCCCGTGGCAGCGGGGTCCTATTGGAAACTAAGGGATATTAAGGCCTCCTTTTAATAGAGAACCGGATAAAGCATTAGCACATAGTGAATACATGAACTCCTCAAACTATGATCATCACCGGGAGTGGTCCCGGTTATTGTCACTTCGGGGTTGCCGGATCATAACACATAGTAGGTGACTATAGACTTGCAAGATAGGATCAAGAACACACATATATTCATGAAAACATAATAGGTTCAGATCTGAAATCATGGCACTCGGGCCCTAGTGACAAGCATTAAGCATAGCAAAGTCATAGCAACATCAATCTCAGAACATAATGGATACTAGGGATCAAACCCTAACAAAACTAACTCGATTACATGATAAATCTCATCCAACCTATCACCGTCCAGCAAGCCTACGATGGAATTACTCACGCACGGCGGTGAGCATCATGAAATTGGTGATGGAGGATGGTTGATGATGACAACAACGATGAATCCCCCTCTCCGGAGCCCCGAACGGACTCCAGATCAGCCCTCCCGAGAGAGATTAGGGCTTGGAGGCGGCTCCGTATTGTAAAACACGATGATTTCTTCTCCCTGATTTTTTTGTCCCCGAAAGCCAATAAATAGAGTTGGAGTTGGCGTCAGAGGGCCACCAGGGGGCCCATGAGCCTGGGCGCGGCCCCCACCCTCGTGGACAGTGTGTGGGCCCCCTGGTCTTCGTCTTTGGCGAGGATTTTTTATTATTTTTTCTAAGGTGTTCCATGGAGTTTCAGGTCATTCCGAGAACTTTTATTTTCTGCACATAAAACAACACCATGGCAATTCTGCTGAAAACAGCGTCAGTCCGGGTTAGTTCCATTCAAATCATACAAGTTAGATTCCAAAACAAAGGCAAAAGTGTTTGGAAAAGTAGATACGATGGAGACGTATCAATCATCCTCAACCAAAACTCACGCCCATTAGCCATGTGCATTTCCCATACCGCTAATCAAACACTTGTCTGCTAATTCATGTTTGAGCATAGGTCGGTCTCCTCGTGAGAATCTTATGTTGTAGTTTTCTTCCTAGCACCTACCTGGGGAGTGCCCAACCCACTTGACATGACTAGGCCGCCCAGAACGAATGGCAACGCCACGGTCACGCGGTGACCACGCGACGGGCATGCGAGTTTACACGCTCTAGAGTTGGGGCCCTCGGCCACCGTCCAAACCTCGACGTATCGCCACCAAACCATGTACTTTTTATTAAATAGGTACTTATGTAACTAGAAATGATTTTTGGAAAAAATAAATAGCAAACTATAAGGCAGCTGCAGTTCAAATTTGACCCGCTTCCAACTGAATCGGCGGAAATTTGTCTTTTTCACGAGAGGTGGATCAAAACTTTTGACACCCAACCATTTTGTCAATTGTGCATTAAATATTTCCTAGTATTTTAGAAAATTTATTTGGTCCAATTTTATAACAAATATATGGTAGGTCATTCACAAAAAAAACTCATTTTGGGCACTCAAAAAATAGAAAATGAATTGTTTGTCCAAATAAAATGAAAACTTCCTTAGGCAATATTGTTTGTCATTCAAAGATGCACCCTTGTGCACAATATAAGATCATTTAAACAAACTGTGCCATGAATGTGGCCATAAGATTGAGCATTTAGGTTGAAAGCCATGAATCTTCACATATGATAGCTCATTTCTAAGAGCACTTTTTTTAAATAATTGCCGTATTATAAGTTTATTATTTTTCCTGGTAACTTGGTCACATATAATGATACAATGCGAAGGTTTTCATTTTTTTCAATTTTTTTGAATTTTTTATCCCCATTTCAAAATGCGGTCAAAACGGTGGGAATGACCATTCCTAGCTAGTGGTTGATTCTTGGAATTATTTTGATGTTTCTATGATTAAATATATACTTAAGTACATAGAAATGATTTTTGGAAAAAATAAATAGCAAACTATGAGGTAGTTGCAGTTCAAATTTGACCTGCTTCCTACTAAATCGATGGAAATTTGTCTTTTCACCACAGGTGGTTCAAATTTTTTGACATCCAACCATTTGGTCAATTGTGCATTAAATATATCATGGTATTTTATAAAATTGATTTGGTCGAATTTTGCAACAAATATATGGTAGGTCTTTCACAAAAAAAACTCATTTTGGGCACTCAAAAAATGGAAAATGTTTTTTTATCAAAATAAAATGAAAACTTCCTTAGGCAACAATGTTTGTCATTCCAAAATTCACCCTTGTGCACAATATTAGATCATTAAAACAAACTGCGCCATGAATGTGGCCATAAGATTGAGCATTTGGGTTGAAAGCCATTAATCTTCACAAATGATGGCTCATTTCTGAGAAGACTTTTTTAAAATAATTGCCATATTATAAGTTTATTATTTTTCCTGATAACTTGGTCACATATAATGAAACTATGCGAAGGTTTTCCATTTTTTTGATTTTTTTTGAATTTTTATGCCCGTTTCAAAATGCGGTCAAAACGGCGGGCATGACCCTTCCTAACTAGATGTTGAATCTTGGAATTTTTTGATGTTTCTATGATTAAATAGATACTTATGTACCTATAAATGATTTTTGAAAAAAATAAAGAGCAAACTACGAGGTAGCTGCAGTTCAAATTTGCCCCGCTTACAACTGAATCGATGGAAATTTGTCTTTTTCATGAGAGGTGTATCAAAGCTTTTCGCACCCAACCATTTGGCCAATTGTGCATTAAATATGTCCTAGTATTTTAGAAATTTGATTTGGTACAATTTTGCAACAAATATTTGGTAGGTCCTTCACAAAAAAGCTCATTTTGGGCACTCGAAAAATGGAAAATGATTTTTCCGTGCAAAGAAAATGATAACTCCCTTAGGCAACATTGTTTTTCATTTCAAGATGCACCCTTGTGCACAATATGAGATCATTTGAATAAACTATGCCATGAATGTGGCCATAAGATTGATCATTTGGCTTGAAAGCCATGAATCTTCACAGATGATAGCTCATTTATAAGAATATTTTTTTAAAATAATTGTTGTATTACAAGTTTATTACTTTTCCTGGTAACATGCAAAGGTTTTCCATTTTTTTTTAATTTTTTATGCCCGTTTTAAAAAAATGCGGTCAAAACGGCAAGCATGACCATTCCTAGCTAGTGGTTGAATCTTGGAATTTTTTGGTGTTTCTCTAATTAAATAGATACTTATGTACTTAGAAATGATTTTTAGAAAAAATAAAGAGTAAACTATAAGACAACTGTAGTTTAAACTTGACACGGTTTAAACTAGATTGGCGGAAATTTGTCTTTTTCACTAGAGGTGGATCAAAACTTTTGGCATCCAACCATTTGGTCAATTGTTCATTAAACATGGCCTAATATTTTAGAAAATTGATTTGGTCCAATTTTGCAACAAATATATGGTAGGTCCTTCACGAAAAAACTCATTTTGGGCCCTCGGAAAAATGGAAAATGAAATTTTTGTCAAAAAAAAAAAATTTAGGCAACATTGTTTGTCATTCCAAGATACACCCTTGTGCAAAGTATGATATAATTTGAACAAATTATGCCATTCAAAAATGCATGCTTGTGCAAAAAATATAAGAAAAACACATAGAAAAACACAATTACATAAGCTTTGTTTACATTGGTTGAAATGTTTGTGCCATGGATTGATGACATGGCATCCATCCATCCATCCATCGCTGCCGCCTCCTTCTCCCCAGATCCAATCTCGCCGCCGGCCTCATTCTCCCGCTCGCACACGCTCAAGCCGCTCGCCGCCACCACGCTCCTCCACCTCCAGGCGACGCCGAGCCCGCGGTCTCCCTGCCCAAGATCGTGCCGGAGCCCGCGGTCATCCTCCGCCTACAGCTCGGCTCCCCTTCAAGATCGCGCCGCCACCTCCCTTCCCACCCCCTCCTGGATCTCTCCCTCGGCGAGCCACCGGCCTGCAGATCGTCCACTTCCCAGTTCCCAGTGCGTGCATGGACAGGCTGAGGAGCGTGGTGCTGCGCAGGTGCAAGAGCCTGTCGCGGGCGGCCGTCATCGTCCTCCAGCTCCTACAGCAACCTCCGCTCCATGTCCGCCAGGGACGACGCCGCCGGCCAAGACAACATGGCGGCGGCCGAGGGGGCGTCGGCAGTGGTGTTCGTGGGCAGCTCGCGGCGGCGGTACGTCATCAGCGCCAGGCACCTCCGCCACCCGCTGATCGCCGCGCTCATCGACGACGACGCCGGCGATGGCGACATGAGGAATAGCAAGGAGCCGGTGGCCGTGAGGTGCGAGGTCGTGCTGTTCGACCACCTGCTCTGGATGCTTGACAACGCCGTTGACCTCCGCGCGGGCGCCGGCGGCGAGGACGACGCCGTCAGGGAGCTGGCCCAGCTCTACGCCACGTGCTAGCCCAGTTACAGGTGATCGAGTCGCCGGTTGATATATACGTCAGGGAGTAGTACGATCAACCCTGCATGAACCATGCGTGTTGGTGATACTCCTCTAAGGATTCGATTGATTCTTTTTGTGTGTTCTTGCGCGAGATCTAAGATTCTTGGGCGCCAAGTGGAAGATATATACTTTGGGTTCGTTCGTATAGGCAGAGCTGCTTGATAGCTAATGGTTCTGTATTTGTTCTAGCGTCAATGCTCTTTTTAACTCTAGGGACAACTTACTCGGCTTGATTCATAGTCAATCTTACTAGCTACTCAGAGTACTAGAGCAGCATGCACGTCAAAAAATACGAGCAAGGTCTTGGGGGTTGGGACACAGTTAACAGTGACCAAGCAAAGGCCGGTCCATATATTTGCTGAGTCGTATGCTAGTATCAATGTTGCAGTACCAGTGATAACCTGAGAGTTGTTGCAAATTTCTTTCATTCGGCTTCATTTGTTTATGCTGCTTGAGGTTCCCTTTTGCGGTGCAGGCAACAGCAGAGGACGAATTCGGAATTCGCTTGTGGGATCTCAGAATGCTTAAGCATCCACTACTGCATGTCTGCACCGATCTGTTCCTAGATAGGTAAGACGGTACAAACTATTGCTGGATCAATTAAATGCACGGCCTTATGCGTGCGTCTTGACTGATGGCATCACGAGGGTACACCGGGCACAGAGATTAACTAGTTCTTGATCAGTGCTCAGGTCGATCAGTGTGGTCAACCGGAAGCAGCCGCACGACGGCGATGTCGTCCGGATCGTGAGCACCAGGAGCAGACCGCAGCTCGCCGCCACATTCCAGTGCTACAAGGAACAACATGGCAGTGACATAGAAGATGTTTATTAATTATCACCTCTTTTTGTGTCTAACTAATAGTAGCAATATACAGTATATCTGTCAAGTATCCGATTCACGGACCAACTGGTGAACTGAAGCGCTTGTTCTTGTTGCTGCTGCTGTTGTTGCAGGACATGAAGCAGTACAGCAGCAGCCAGTTTGCAAGGATGCTCAAGATTGCTGTCTGGTGCCTCACATCTCCTGAAAAGCACTTTTCAGAGGTACGCCACGACACGCAGATCAACCTCACCCTGCGCACCCGCTGGTGGCTGCACTGCATCACGCGCAGCCGCGAGTGCGACGCCAGGCTCGTCGTGTCCATGGGGGAACAGGTGAGGCCATCGGGTTCTGCCGTCGTCGTCGGCATATCGCATATTTTTTTTAATTTCCTGGTGTTGTTCTGTTGGCTCGTCTCAGTAGGATTCAGTTTGGTGAGGGTTGACATGATTGGTGATGCCGTATTATTGTGTCTGTTTGACTTGAGTTGCTGTACAGTTACGGTCGCTTGTTGTGTCAGGGTGTCTGACTGCAATCTTTGGCTTGCCTCATGCTAAATTCTAGATACTGGGTAGGATGATACTTCGTGGAGAAACAGTTGTATACAAATTCTATCATTGTGTTGTATAGTAGGTATCTGATTCAGTCGCAAATTATGAAAAGGGATACAGTCCATGCTTTATCGTAACACATGGATATCTCACTTGGTATCTTGTGCTAGTGCTGCTCCCTGTGATAGAGTAGAATGATACTTCGTGGCATACATTCTCTGTCTCTATTCAAGAACGATCCGCATTTGGCTGATTTGTGCTTAACCAGATTGAATGTATCACCAAATAATCGTGTAATGAGTAGGTTTGCTAGGAGAAGTACCATTACCATTTTATGGTTTCGTACCCTACCATAATCTCTTTGTTTGTTCTCCGCTATTAGTGGCTTTGGAGTGACTCTTTGTTGCATGTTGAGGGATAGTTATATGATCCAATTATTTTATTATTGTTGAGAGAACTTGCACTGGTGAAAGTATGAACACTATGCCTTGTTTCCTAGCATTGCAATACCATTTACGCTCACTTTTATCATTAGTTACCTTGCTGTTTTTATATTTTTAGATTACAAAAACCTATATCTACTATCCATATTGCACTTGTATCACCATCTCTTCGCCGAACTAGTGGACCTATACAATTTACCAATGTATTGGGTGTGTTGGGGACACAAGAGACTCTTTGTTATTTGGTTGCAGGGTTGCTTGAGAGAGACCATCTTCATCCTACGCCTCCCACGGATTGATAAACCTTAGGTCATCCACTTGAGGTAAATTTGCTAATGTCCTACAAACCTCTACACTTGGAGGCCCAACAACGTCTACAAGAAGAAGGTTGTGCAGTAGACATCAATTGGCGGCGTCATTCCTCCGCTGCTGCCTCTCCTCTGCCATGGTCTTGGTCAGAGCTCCCTCCCGGGTTGTGGCCTCTGTGAGCGTCTTCTCAAGGTCCACCAGCTTCCGCTTTAGGTCATCGATGGAGTCGTCGGCGCGGGAGAGCTGCTCGGCCTTGGCCAGGTTTTCGTCCTGCGCCTCCAACAAGGTGCGGCGGGCCGAATTCCTCTCCTCCACCAGCTGATCGGCCCCTGGCCTTCAAGCCATCCCGCTCCACCTCCAGCTCCTTCACCCTGTTGCCATGGGCCAGGGCCTGGGCATCGAGCGCCTCCTTATGCTTGTCCTCCAGCTCTTGGGTCCGCGCCACGACAAGCTTCTTGACCTCCTCGTCCTTGCCGCGGCGCGTAGCGGCAAGCGCCGTCTCATGGGCGACGAGATCTTCCTCCTGGGAGTTCCGCTCAGCCTCGCGCTGAGGCCGGATGGCCTCGGCCTTAGAGGCCTCCTCCCTCGCTTCCTCCCGGGCCTTCTCAAAGTCGGCCTACTTCAGGAGGAGTTCCACGTTGCGCTGCACCAGCTGGTCTTGGGCGGCCTTCAGCTCCTCGTGGGCCTGGCGGAACCAAGCCTGCGCCTCGGCGACGCGCTCCGCGAAGTCTGCTTCCACCTTGTGCGCCACCTTCTCCTTGGACTTCATCTTGCCCAGACGGGCGCGGTGGAGCGCCTGAAGCTTGTTGATGCTGGCACTCATGGCCTGGAGGAGACGCTCCTCTTGGGTGCCGCCACTAGTGCTCGGCTCGTCGATGACCTCAAGCCCGGCCTCGTCGAGCACTTTGTCGTCGAACACCTCCCCCTCGGCCAGTGCCCTGGTGCATGCCAGCCTTGGGAGGTGAACGAACACGTCGTCACTCACCTTCAGGTACTTGCCTGAGCCGGAGGCAGCGGACGAGGAGGGTTGGTCGTCAATCACCTCATCCTCGACAGAGGCCTTGTCGGCCTCCTCGTCGCCAGCGGCCTTGCCGGCCTGCTCCTCAGTGGCGCCCTTGCCGGCCTCCTCTTCAGTGGCGCCCTTGCTGGCCTCCTCGATGGTGCTCTCGCCGGTCTCCCCGGCAAACCCCTTGGCGGCATCCTCGGCCGCGGTTTCGGCGGCCTCCTCGGTGGCGACCTTCTTAGCCTCGGTCTTGGTGTCCACGGCAGCCTCCTCAATGATGGTGTCGGTGTCCCCCTGGTCCGCCGGGGGGGGACCTGGATCCCAAAGGGGGAAATAAGACAAAGCCAAAGCCAAGGTTCAGGAGAAAAGAAAGAGAAGCAAGGGAGAACAAATGACTCACCCGTGCCAGGCTGGGAAGATGTGGCCCCCTCCCCGCCAACGTCCATTGCCGGGATGGAGCCGCCAGCGCTGAAGTCTACCTCCTCCTCCTCCTCCGTGCGCATGGGCTCGATATCTGGCATCCTTGCCGGGGTCGCCCCTCGGGGCGGTATGGTCGATGAGGGCGGCGTGGTGAGAGAGGCCCTTGGTGGCTCCTCCTGCTGCCGTTTTTCTCGTGCATACCGCGGCAAGGTTAACGCACTACAAAAAAAGACACATCCATGACATTTTGGGCCTCACGAAAAAAAATTCTGTCATACTTATGACACTTCTATGACAATAATTGTGACAAAACCCGGTATCATCATAGATGTGGTGGGATTCTACTTCTATGACAAAAAATCATGACAGAAAATGGGCTTTTCGTCCTTGGTGGGCCAGAGACGTAGCTGCATGACATTCTTTGGGCCGTCCATGTTGGAAAAAACCGTGGTAGAAGCAAGGGCGAGGAAAATTTTAGGGAGTTCCCGGTTACAGTGGGTGGTCGGGGGCCGAGCGATGCGCGTTTCTCTTGTACACGTACGCGCATGTGTGCGAGGCGATGGCTCTAACTGAACCCGAGCAAGGCGTTGGGCTCTAACTGAACCCGAGCGATTGCACTGCAGGCTACGCGTTACTGAACCCGAGCGATCGATCGATGGCTGTTAACTGAACCCGATCGAGCGATTCCTTTGCTACTGCTGCTAACTGAAGCCGATCGATGCTGCCTCTAGGATGAACAGTGAGCGTTGCGGGGAGGGGGGGGGTTGGATGAACAGTGAGCGGTGGGGGTGGAATCAGGACCCCGTGGTGTTGACTCTGGATGAACAGGACGACCCCGTGGAGGCTGGATAAACAATAGACGGTGAAGGGGTGCCCATGGAGGGGTGGTTGAACAGTAGCCGGTGGAGTAGCGCACGGTGGAGGCTGGATGAACCGGAGCCCGTGGAGGCTGGAGGAGGTCGACGGTGGAGATGAACAGTATCCCGTGGAGTCCCGTTTTGCGGTACGCCACACCCATCCCGATGAACAGGACCCTCGTTTCGATCATAACGCTCCAACACAAGTCCGTTTCGTCCGTTTTGCGGTACGCCACACCCCTCCCGATCAACAGGACCCCCGTTTTGACCGTAGGAGTTCTGTTTCCTCCGTTTTGCGGTACGCCAGACCCCTCCCGATGAACAGGATCCCGTTTCGAACGTGGCCGGTCGAACACAAGGCCGATTCCTCCATTCCACGGTATGCCAGGCCTCGTTTCCATCACCTGTTCCGTCCAAGCCCTCCCGATGAACATGACGATGCATTCCGTTCCGACCCAGCTGGTTGACTCCCCATGAACACGACGACGACGCTGTTTCTCCATTCTGACCCAGCCATGTACATGAGCCCTGGCCGTACGTATGCGCGAGTAGG